GTGAGTAGAGGGGGGGTAGAGGGCTTGCTACCTACCATACATCTGGTTGAAGTCGGGAACTTGATCGATGTCGCAGACGTAGATAGCACAGAAGTTCTTCACCTTGTCGGCGATCCGGTAGAGGACTTCGTCTTGCCGCATGCAGTCGGGGTCATGGTCGCGACCAAAACGGATCGCTGCGGCGAATGGTAGTTAGCACTTTGCTCTCGAGGTGGCTACGCTTGCCCCAGTTTTACTTACCGACAACACGTTCGGTCTCTGAGAGGATGGCTTGATCGACATGCCAGCCAGTGTTAAGATGCGGTAGCACGATCGAGCCCATGTTTGATATTGTTGTACTTGTAGGTGGGCAGGAAAAGGATGCAATCGACGTTGAAAGGCTGAGCGAAAGGGCTGAGCTATCGAAATAAGTGCGGGTGTGGGGCCTTCTAGCAGATATGCCAAGAAAAGCTTGTTCTCGGGCTGTCGGGCTGTTGGGATATGGTTACCTTAGGTACCTACACTAAAAGGAATACCTGGTAGTGTAGTGAATAGTGCATACCACTAAGCACATAACCGAGGTATGTATATATAAAAAAAGAATTATCTCAACCTTAGACCTTCGGCATCTAGGAACACTGAAAGCCTCCATATATGCCAATAATTCATTAGGAAATGGAGTCAAATCACTTCATCAGCACCATGTAATAAGTCACGAGAAATAATAAATAAGCATGATACGTAGGTGTTATATTATCAACTATGTGACGAGGTGTCATACAGTATCACCCTTTAAACACCTCTCCTCAATAGAATAGCTTCCCACCTGCAAGCGCAACAAGCTCGGGGAAAATCTAGATCACAAGTTAGTTACGTACTAGAAAGTGTATGTGAAGTGTTACTCACGGGTGTTCCAAGACCAGTGACAGGGTCCCATCCCTCTACGGCCGGGAATCCGTCGACGCCGCACCCAACAGCGCTACCGCTTACGATATCAGTCAGTCCCTTGTGTCCCTTCGAGTACAGCCACGGGTTCAAGAAGCCTAGCGGAGGCTTGCCCGTCGAGATGAGGGCGTCGTTCACGAGCGAGATAATGCCACCTGTCAAAGGGCAGCTAGCACTGGTCCCGGAGATCGTACCCTCAGTACCTAATCATATTGTTAGAAACAGGTCAAGTGTGCCACTTAGAAATATACAGAAGAAATTCGTCATCGAGCACATTCGGTACTTCCCAGGCTGGGATCAAATGGTGCTGAAGCCTATGAACGTACCGTTCCAGAAGTATGCAAAGTAAAGGCCTTGGGCTGAGATGTCGGGATATCCCCTGCCCTTCTTGTTGTACAGGCCATCATATAAGCCGTTCAAGTTCTTGACGTACTTGCTGGCCTGCTCCAGTTGGTACGCCGGTGCGGTGAAGTAGTTGCTAAACCCGCCTCCGCTGGTGTAGTTACCGTGTGAGACGCCATCGGGTCCAACGAATGCCGGTCGGTACGCTACGACCTCGGGCTCGAAGTTCTTGGTGGCACCAACCGCTGTGACGTACGGGCAGCTAGGCGGGAACACGGGAAGAAATTGGGTTGTGTTCTTGCCGTCGTTGCTTATGCACTCCCCGTATGACCCGACGCCGCTGTCACCACTGGAGAAGAGCAAGGAAGTACCACGAGCGCCCACTTGGGCAAACTGTTGGCAGACTCGCCGGGCGTACGACTCCGGGACAGTTTGCTCGTCATCGGCGTATGAGGTTGCTGCGCCGTGTTAGTTACCTGCACAGAGACTTAAGCCTACTCTCGAAAGATACGAGGCAAGAAAAATAGGACATACTAGGAGTGCGTTAGTATCATGGGTATAATGCAAACAAAGGAGGATTCCGAGGTAGGTAAATTTCTCACATACCTAATAACCTGTGGGAAAGACTTTTGATCGAGGAGATAGTTTACCCAAACCAGATAGGGCTCGTTGGTATTGGTAGGAGTGCTAGTAGACGGCATGAAAGGCGGGCTGCCACCCGTCGAGTAGCTGATGATAGGAGCTACCGTGGGCGATATGTTAGTGAGATGCTCCTTTCCGGAGGATGAGATTCCGGGTGCTTACTCTTCCAACTGATACCGGCAATGGCCTGAACGTCCAAGTTCGCTTCCTTGGAGGTGCTGGCCTCGATTTCGTCGGGAGTTAAGGCGTAGTCACCGGGCCCGTCCGCGATAGAGATCTGCGGGAAGTCTCGGGCGCTCGAGACGGCTTCCGGTCGGTACTTGGCAAGAAACAGCTCTGCGTCCGTCCGGATAGGATGTTCGCCGAGGAAGTTGTTGAACCCGACCTTGTTCTTGCCGCAAGCATGGGTCTTGTAACCCTTGGTAGAGTAAAGAGTCTGGAAACATTCTGGCGTGACGGAGCTCACGTTGCAGACGGCGTTCAAAGACTCGTTGCTGGGAGGCGTATACTGGGGATCCAGGTACACGGGCGCATCGACATGATCAAACTTCTCAGCACGAGCACGGAAGAAGGAGTTTGTGGGCTGGATCGTGTCGATGCGGTCATGCAGATGAAGCGGAAGAGACCACTTGGGAGCACGAGCAACGAGGCCGCCGTCCTTGTGCTCGTACACGTGATACTCGGTATCCAAGAGGCGCTCAATGTCGCCTACGGGTAGAGACACCATGATCCAATCCTTGGCCGAGCTGTATCCCGAAGGGGTAATGCCATTGATGTCTAGCCACTCGTGGACGAGAGCAAGGGTCTCGTCCGTTGGCTTAACCAGATCCTTCACCTCATCAGCTGAAAGATGCTGGCCGTAGCGGTGGTGGTCCGGATCCGAAACTACACATCTTGGTCAGACCTGTTTTGCTCACTCTGCCTCTCGCAACTTAGAGCGATGCATCTCGTACCTTCGTATAGATGCCTTTCTAGTTCCGCAAAGTTGCTCTGCTTGATTCCAATCTGGAGATCAATTACGTGACCAGCCGGCGCACGGCGGACCCGCTTCCAATCCCTGGGAACATGGTGCGTGTCCTTGACGCGATAGGGAGTCCGCGATCGCACAGGGTTCGCAAAGGCGACCGCAGCGAAGAGCGCCGAAAAGGCAACGACAAAGCCAACCATGATTGCACGCGCTTCAGCCTAGACTTAAGTCTACTCGATCAGGCTGCAAGGGATGAGCTAGGCAAACCAGAATTACAGCTAGGACTGGATGCTTGAGAAGGAAAAGTCTCCTCCAGGAGAGTGTGCTCGTTGCACTACTTTATATGTGCTTACAGGAGGATCGCAGCAGGGAACGCAGCACGCTATCTCGCATATACACAGTGTAAGGTGAGTGTACAGGGGTTGACAGGCTGGCGAACCATGGTCCTGGTCGGCCATACCCAATTGGATCTCGCGCTTACATCAGGCCGGAAATTACATCGATTGCGTTGTGTTATACTACATAAAACTAAGGCAGCATGACGGCGCTGCGGCGTTCGGTCCACGCTATGGCCTATTATTTGCCTCTTCCGCCCGCGCTGTTCACGCCGTTTCCCGACCTTGACGTTTCTGGAAGGTCGGATGCTATCTGCACCCAGGCACGCGAGCCTAGATCGTGCCTGATCTTACCTTGTTTTTGTTTGAGATCATCGCCTATCAACTGAACAATGGATCTTTACGAGGCTGAAATTGGACTAGGTTAGATGTTCGAGAACCATTCGGGCAGTTCGGGTAACAAAGATAGGGCCTCATGACGAAAGCAAACAAAACGGATCAATCTAATACGCATACGCACCTATGACATGCCTAGATGCGAGATAACTAAAATGCATGTCGATCGACATATCCCACGTGGTCCGTGCATCCCGAATACAACTATGGCAACATTCTTTGAATCCCTACCTTATGAGATATGTTCTAAATCCCACCACTGTGTATAAAGCTTACACGCGTTGATCGTAGTGATTTATCTAGGTATCATATAATATCAGCCATGATTCTATTACCCCTTGGAGAATTATCTCTGAACGTCAGATAGGCAAACCACTAGTATCGCCAAGTTATCGCCGCAATGGTTATTTTGGCATAGAAGTCTGTTTCTCGTCGTTAGTAAGACAAGGTAAGAAATAGCAGAACATATTCCGAGCTATAGTTATGTACTCTAGTTGCTAGATTGCCCGAGAGTTATCTGGTTAACAACCGTAAGAAGTTTGATCCGAGTCAGCAGTACCTTCGCAGACCATGGCCAAGTGAGGAAGTGTCAAGGAGCAAACTCAGGGGCTAAGTTAAGTCCAAACTTATGGAAAAGGGCACTTGATAGATTCTCGGAGATTCATAGCCCCTGCATATCTACCTGGAAATATATACGCCGAGAACCTCCTTGGCTTCTCATATATCAGCTTGTAGTAACTATGAGACCATGGATAACACGAATGAATTTCCAATCGTGATAATATGTCCCATGTCTGTCACACCCCCTGCCACGAGGCCAGCCAATCGACGAGGAAATAGCAACGTTGTTATGCGAAGAGCTATGATACTAACAACTACCGAGCTCCAGGTACATATAAGAGGTAAGGATAAAGGCGCCCGTTTTTTTGTCACATCTTTTCTCTCCTACCAACTAGACATGTGGTCTTACCCGGGTAGTAAGACCTTGACATGTCTGCTGTTTACGCAGTTTTCTCTTTTGATTTTGTGCTGCTGGCCCGTACTTGAGAGGCTCTATTCCTTGGATGAGAACTGGAAAACAGAGAGGAAAGCCTGCTTTATTTATATGTGAATTCGAAAGTACCGTATATATACTCGGCGGAGTTCTTCTATATACGGTGTAACTTGGGAGGTATGTACGTATGTGGAATATCATGAGTCATGTTAAATTTATAAATCTCTACGGCCGTAAGTAAAGTTGGTACGCAATTAAATGTCCACGTAACGTACCTTTTAACGATCACTTTCGAATGAAAAGGGAAACTTACTCGGGATAATGAGATAAGTAATCCAATCCTGAGGGGGGAAAAAAAAGAACCTCTCGGATAAATGGGAATTTCAAACCACGAAAAATTTGATCCCGACCCGATTTGAACGGATAACCTTTCGATCTGGAGTCGAACGCGCTACCGTTGCGCCACGAGACCTTGACATCTGTTTGATTTAAATAAAATATATATATAGCATCTTCGATGACTACACTAAAGTAAACCTACATAACATATGAAAATAAAATGTCGCTTTGATAAATATATTGTTCAATAGTTAATGCGTAGAATTACTTTCGGATTATTTTAATTTATTATGATATAGTTAGTGTCAGAAAAGGCGGAAGTTTGGTGAGCTTACTGATTAGGAGCATTGTTTATAAATATACCAATAAGGAAAGGTCTCGATCATAGAGAGAAGAGGGTAGAAAGGTGTTACATAGACTTATACAGGTGCTGAGCTTATCAGTAATCTTGTATTTCCTCGTTCCCCGGTCGTTGTATCTATAGTTCGACGGTTTATGAAGTACTGGTATATACTCTCAAACCTCAGAGTGATAATGTCCGCCGACGAGTACGTGAACTACTCTAACATGACTCTCAGGCAGTCTTAATTTATAAAATAATAACAAACTACCCGCTCACGAGATAGGTAAGTAGTTATCCTACTGTGTACAGCTACCAGTCTATTTGCCCACTCCATGGACACTTGTAACAGTATATTGTAACTTGGGAGTATGTCTCAGATAGGCGATTTGAGCATACATATTTGACTCCGCACCATTATTTGTCTTCACATATGCACCCCAGAAATATTGCAGGTTTCCATCACTAAGTGCACTTTAGCCGCCTTGGTCTTCTTCCCTCCGCACCCTTTTTTTAGAAAGCGAAGCGGCCAGAACTCATAAATCTTGGCATGTCGCCTCCACGAACTCAACTTTACACCTTGAACATTCCGGCAAAAATAGTAGTGTGCCTCGTGGCACCCCTCCCCCATGTCTATGCGCTCGAATCAACAACATGTCGTTGATTGTCATGTTTCGGCAGCTCTTCAGATCGTATGGGTATTACTTGACCCTTGCATGGGGACATTCTAGATCACATTGGGATTAATTGGATGTAGTCGCCTCGGCTCTATAGAAGTGGCGGTGATGGACTTGTATATGAGGCTGTTGGCTGTTGGCTGTTGGTCAAGTCTTCCACCCTAGGGAGCCGATTTCTCTATGCGAAGTGCGCGGTCTCTGTAACAAACCCTTGGAATACGATGAACTCTCTCCTCACCCTCGCTACGCTCCTGGCGGGTGTGAGCCAGACATACGCCCAGACGGCCGTCACTGTCAAGGTAGGCTCCACGTTACAACAAATTGATGGATTCGGTGTTTCGCAGGCATTTGGGCGCGCAGCTGAGTTCAGGGACATGCTGTCCGGGGATCCTCAAAAGCAGGGTCTTGACTACCTGTTCAACACGACCACTGGTGCCGGCCTCACCATAATCCGTAACAGGATTGGCTCGGGCACGACTAGCGATGACAGCATCCTCCCCAAAAGCCCCGGTGGCCCTACCGCAGCTGCCAATTACAGTTTCGACGACAATGACCGAGGCCAGGTCTGGTTCAGCCAACAAGCTATGAACTATGGTGTCAAGACCATCTACGCCGACGCCTGGAGTGCTCCTGGGTATATGAAGTCGAACGGGAACGAGAACAACGGAGGCTACCTCTGTGGAACACCAGGCCACACGTGCTCATCCGGGGACTGGCGTCAAGCCTACGCCAACTTCTTAGTTCAGTACGTGAAGTACTATAGCGAGCGCGGAATTCCCGGTCTGTCCACCCCCTTTTTAGTATCCAACTTTTAGCTGACTTCTTTGCAGTACGTTAAGCGAGCACCCCCTTCCCCTCTCTGTATTCTAGCATTCTAGCCTTAGTTGGGCACTTCCTGCAGATAACCGTTACAAAAACAGGTTAGTAACTGACATGGGCTTACAGGTTACCCAGCTTGGGTTCCTAAACGAGCCCGACTACGTGTAAGTATCACGAGCCTACACAGTAGCCATATCTCATTGACCTTTCTAGGACGAGCTATTCGTCAATGCAATCCGGCGCCAACGAAGCAGCATCCTTCATTCCTATCCTACACGACACGCTTGAGAAAAACGGGTTTGGTAATGTCTCTTTGACTTGTTGTGACGCAAGTAAGTGAAGACTATATGTTCCTTGTTTACTCGTGGCCGTTTGGAAAGATCACAGCTGCTAATATCAACAACGGCAGTGGGCTGGAACTCGCAACGAACCATCACACAGGGCCTCGTCTCGGCAGGGATGGAGCGATACCTCGGATACATCACGTCGCACATGTACACAGGCGACCCGACCTCGGTTATACCCACGAAGCTCAAGGCATGGCAGACTGAAGCAGCCGATCTTCAATCGCGTTGGTGTGCCACCTGGTATGGCAGTGGTGGTCTATGCGAGGGCATGACATGGGCTAACAAGATTCACAATGGCCTCGCCAACGCCAACCTCTCTGCTTATATTTACTGGCAGGGCGTAGAGGTGAACCAGTTCCAAGCCTCCTCTTACCTCGTGGCAAGCGATGGCAAAACATTAACTCCTTCCGGACGTCTCTGGGCCTTTGCCATGTGGTCTCGGTTTGTACGTCCTGGAGCCTATCGTGTCAGCACCACAGGTAGTGTCTCTAGCACTGGTATCACAGCCTTTCAGAATACGGATGGGTCTGTGGTCGTCGTGTTTCTCAACTCGGGTGGTTCTCAACAGAATGTCAAGGTTTCCTTCACCGAGTTCACGCCTGCAGGGGCCGAGGCATTCGTGACGGACAACACCAGATCGGTAGCCCCAGTGACAGCGACATTATCTGACGGTGCGGTTACCGCCTCCATTCCAGCAAGGGGAATGCTGACGGTTAAACTCACCGCTTGAACGATGACCAAATAATGTGTCAGTTACATTAAGCTTATAATCTGGAATAAATCAAAATAAATCAAGCCAGCTGCAGACACAGGCAGGTTTATCGTGATCCATGTAACCGCTGATACTTGCCCACCCATCGCCACGTTCGCCGCGTGATTAGAGCTCCCCCGCGAGTTATTTGGTGGTTGTATTTCAGGAAGCATTCATGCACGTTATCCTCTTCGACATAGCGGCTGTCGGCTCTGAGCGAGAGCAGGAGGTCGACTATCAATTGCGCAGTGGGCGTCTTGGCAAATATAAAAAGAAAAATCCACTTTATATAGATATTATAAAGAGACACGCCGGCGTCGACTAACGGCGAGACTATCTTTGGGTTTTTTATAATAATAACTTATAATAATAATTATTTTTTATTATAATTATATTATATATTTAGTTTTTTAAAAATATATTAAAAATATTTTTAATAAATATTTAATTTAATAAATTTAATTTAAAATTAAATTTAATATTTAAATATAATTAATTATAAAAAATATTTATATTTAATAATATAAATTTTAATTTATAATATTAAAATTTAATTCGTAATTATTAATTATAACGTAATTAAAATAATTAAAAAACTAATTAATTTTTTTATTAAATATATTTATAATTTTTTTATAAATATATATATTATAATTTAATATTTTATAAATATTATATTATTATTTTTATTTTAAATTATTATTTTTATTTTTATTTTATTTTTTAACGTTATTTTTTTTTTTAATTAATAATATTTAATTTTTTTTATAAATATTTATTTTTTATTTTTTAATATTTATTAAATATATAATTTATTTTATAAAAGTTTATTATTTTTTTATATAAAAAAATAATTTCGTATATTATTTTATATATAAATTTTAAAAATTTATTTATAATTTATATAATTAATATTAAAAAGTTATTTTAATATTTAACGATTTAATTTTTTACGTATATAAATTAAATTACGACGTTATTAATAATTTTAAATATTATAAAAATTAAAAAAAAAATAAAAACTTAAAAATAAAAAAAAAATATTTAAATAATTTAAATAATATTTAATTAAAATATAATTAATTTTAAATTAAATAAAATAAATTTAATTTTTTAAAATTTAATATAAATATTTTTTTTAAAAATAAATAAAAAAATCTTTTTTTATAATATAAATTAAATTATAATATATTAATTTTTTTATAAAAAAACTATACATACGTTTTAAAATAAAAAAAACGCTTATATCAAAAAGTTAAAATTTATAAAAAAAATAAATAAATATATAAAATAAAATAATATTATTTTTTTTATAATATTTTTTAAAAATTATTAAATAATAATTTTTATAATTATTAAAAATAAAAAAATATTTTATGTTTTTTATATATAATTTAATATATTTATTAAAATATTTAATTTATTTTATATTATTTTTATTTATTATTTAATTATTATTAAAAAACGTAATATATTAATTTAATAAAAAATTATTATTATAATATTAAAATATAAAATAATTTTTATTTATAATAATAATATATAAAAATATTATAAAATTATTAAAATTAATAATTTAAATAATTATAATTTATTTTTAATTATTAAATTATATTTAATAAAACTAATTATATTTTTTTATATTTATAATAATTATATTAATAATTATAAAATTTATTATAAAATTTATTTTATTAAAATTATAAATATTTTTTTTTAATATATTATATTTTATAATTATATTTTATATAAATATAAATTATTTTTAAAATATATTAAAATTTTTATAAAAAGCTTTTAAATAATTAATTTATTAATTTAAATATATTTAAAATAATAATTATTAATTAATAAAATTTATTATTTATTTTTTTTAATTATTT